CATGCAAATATTATGTGAGATTATTATGAAGATATTGATCTACCAATAACGTCAACGGAACCTTTGATTTTGTGAAAGATAGAGAAAGAAAGAGAGAGATAACTCACAAGATAATAAGGTTTCTTCTCTCATCGGTCATTTTGATTGAAGTCCAAATGTTAAAAATATTTTAGAACAAGTAAAAACTATATATAGGGGGGAAATATTATAGCAGTAATTAAATATTTGAAAGAGTATACTAGTCAAACAAAGAATATAGTATTTACTTTGAAGTTACAATAAATATCTTTATTTTAAGGAAAGAAATATGTCTGAAACAGGTAGAATAATATGTCAATGAGACCATATGTTTCCAAATTCAAAGCATGCATAAAAACCGATAAATTTTGTGTTTGAACCATATTTTAATTTAAAAATAGAAAATATTTGGAAACATGTGTATCATGGATTATGTCGAGACTAATGATTATATTTACTATTATCTCAAGGGAAGGTGTTGGAGAGAACATCTCACATTGGAAATATGAAAGAGACTTATAATATAAAAGTGATTTGGGTCATTCCACTTACTACCTATTGTTTTAAGTTGGAAGCCCAAAACAATTAACATGGTATTAGAGCGGACTTACCCATTAATCCGGCCCGGACAGTGACCTGATCAGCCACATTAATTGATGACCCATAAAAAGCTCAGATCTGCCAACATTGTTAGAGAAAGCAATGTCTCGGAGCAGGTATGATGATTTATGTCGAGATTAATGTTATAAGTACCATTATTTCGAGGGCGTCTGTTGGAGATAAAAATCTAATATTTGAAATATGAAAGGGACTTTTGTAACATATAAGGATTTGAGTCAGTAAACATACTACAAACTGAATTTATGTTGGAAGTTCAGGAAACTTCTTAAAGAATGCATTAAGCTTAGGATACATTTTGATTCATCTGTTTCGAGTCCTTTGCTACCCATAGAAGACGGCAGCACATGCAGAACAATGCAAGGTGAATAATTGTGATTTGCATCAGGTATCTAGTTATGGTCATTCTACTAAGAGAGGTATAGAGACTAATCAGAACAACAAAATGCTCAAATCAGGATTAGCGGACGAGTCAAGACCAAGCAGGCCTCCATTGAATCCTAGATAAAGACGATGTAGGAGATTAAGAAGAACCCAAATATTAATAATATATCTATGAATGATGCGTAAGGGTTTTATATTGTTGAAATCTCTTCTCTTGATGTTTTAAATTCATCAACTGCAATGAAGTAATATATCTTACTTTTATACTGTTTTTTTTTTTAATTTTTTTTCCTTATGCTAGAACAAGGTTATTCAACACGTTTTCAGGTTTCTCAAAACCTTATCATTCCTTCTTAGATACCTTTTACAGAAGACCTTTCATATATGTTTATTGTAGCCATTTTTTTGTCGTGTTGGTGAAGAAAAGTAACAAGAATGCTATTATTGCCATTTTTGTCGTGTAGGATCTATGGGAAGAATAATATCAAACCTATCCACTCCAAACATACCGAGATAAATGTGAAATTTCCTACAATAAATACACATTTACCACAAGCACAATCCTTAAACACACTTCTCATGCATGTATGGACTGCTATTACTAAAGGAATGTACCAGAGTTGTATAGTATATTCACGAGGTTGCAACTGTGTGGTTATAGCTTTATGTGATTCTGAATCTATGCACTGTTTTTAGTGCACATATTGACATAAGTATTTGTTTTAAAGAAGGTTAACTAACCCCTTCAAAAATGTGATATTCGAAAATAATTTATACCCTAAACAAAATATGAATCAGAAATACCATAAACACACACTACAAGAAATATTAGTATTGGTAGCAGTTCATGGTAGCACGAATTCACGAACTGCTACTAATACTGTGAAAATCGGATCATAACTCTATCGTAGCATTAAATTTACGCTAGCAAATATTTTCATTAAATGGAAACCCAAAAATGACTTCTGTAACAGGATATCTATTTTGGAGGCAAAACACTTAACAAAATTTTTGGTTTTGGCGGATCTATTTTTCTTTTTTTAAGTCATTTTTTGGTTCATCACTCACAAAAAAATTTATTCTCATCAATATCTCATCTCCTCTCTTTTCTTCTCCTCTCTGTTCTTAATCATCTCCTCTCTCTATCTTACTCTCCTAACCTCACTCACACCCACACGATTCATGTAACACATATATCTCTGTCTCTCTTTTACTCTCCTGATTTCTCTCTCTC